AGGTGAGAGATGACGAGGGAGCTGGTGGCCCTGTGAGTGGCAATGTAAACACTGTCATGAAAGAAGGAAAAAGGAGATTTGGCACCTGCTAAGGTTTGTAGGCTAAGCAAGAGTGAGAAAAGTTTGTTGCAATCCTAGGTGATACTGTTTGACAAAAACGGGGAAATTAGGAATAGGGGTAATTGTTGAGAAAGGATACTAAATTGAGTTATGGGCATCTTTGCCTCCTGGCTTCCTTCCAGTCTCTGCTCAAATCCTATCTTCTGCATGAAGCCTTTCCCAGTCCTCCTTAATCTTAGGCAGTCCCTCTGAGACTCTCTCCAGCTTCGGCAGTCTCTTGTTTGTATAGAGCTGCGCTAACGTCAGACTGTGAGCTCCTTGAAAACAGGCCGTTTTTTTTAGCCTCCTTTGTAACCCCAACACTTGGCACCATACTTGACACATAGTAGGTGCTTAACAAAGGCTTGCTAATTTGACAGGTTGGGTTTTCAATACTGTTCAAAATGTCCAACAGGGAGGTGGTGATGTGGGATTGGCACTCAAGACAGACTAGGGCTGAGTAAAAAGGATATGGGCTAGAGATGATAATGGGACTCATGGGAGCTAATGAAGTCACCAAGAGAGTATGAGGAGAGAAGAGGGCCCAAGACAAAACCTTGGGGCATACCCTGTCAGTCGGACAAACTGCATTTATTAAGTGCCTACTGTGTGCCAAGTGATATACTAAGGACCCAGCTGGGGGATGAAATATGAATGATGATCCATCCAAGAAGACTGAGGAGTTCTCAGGTAGACAGAGAACCAAGAGAAAGAAGTGACATGAAAACCCAGAGAAGAAAGAGTATCCAGGAGAGAGGGATCACCATTGGTAAATGCTGCATTTGAGGTCAAGAAGAATGAGCATTGAGGAAAAAAAGACATCTGATCTGACAATTAAGAGAGTTTGGGAACTTCGGCAGAGAGCTGTTTTAGCTGAGTGATGAGGTCAAAAGCCAGTTTGCAAAGGGCTGAGTGAGGTTCACTAATTCAGACTGGCTTGTTGCCAAGCTAGCTTTAATTAGTAAGATTTTATTGGAAATGCTACCACAGTATTTAGATGGGCCAAAGCTATGTAAAACCACATTTTCTGTGGAAAACAAGGCCCCTGAAATAGTTCAATTCAAGTATTTTATAACTCTACAGTGGGTTTCAACATACTGGAGAAAGCCATATTGTTCACTGGAAAACATCCTATAAATACTTCATAATTCATTCATGTACTCTAGGCCTCAGCCACAAATTGAAAAAAAAACATTTTTAGTTATCTCACAGAAAGTCTATAAAAATAGGAAAAAAGCAACATCTGTGGCATATAAATTTAAAATTTCCATTGCATATTTTCTACTAATTTAAGGCACTACTTTCATATGCCATAAAGTATCTGAGAATAAAGCTCAGGAGGTGAATGAATATTTTCAGGCCACAGGGGTTCCATTTAGTAAATGACTTCTTTGCCCTAGCCCACTAGCCTCAGAGAGCTCACCTCAGGAAGGTGAACAATTTACTTCTTATTATACCCAAAGGCTCACCGTTGCTTTCTGGAGCTGATGGAGAGTGATGAAAGTATGTGTAAAAGATTGTTTCATATTTTAGCATCATACCTCAAGCCACCTTGAAAGAAAATCTTAAATTTTTACTGAAAAATATTGTATGTATTACAGCCAGATGAATGAAAACTACTCCCTCAAATGAGATATTTTCCACTTAAACTCTTATAGGGGAAGAAGCCACGGATGTCACAGCTTGATATAGGAAAACACAGAATGGGAGTTAGGAAGACCTGGGTTCAAATCTAGACCTAGATATTTACTAGCCCCATAACCCTGGGCAATTCACTTAATCTCTTTCAGCCTGTTAAATGTGGCATCTGTAGGCATCAACTGAGATAACAAGTAAAGCTTTGTAAACCTTAAAGCCCTACACAAATGCTAGCTATTATTATTAGCTGGGCGATCATAAATATTACTTTACTTCTTCAAATTGCAAATGGGGATAACAACATCATTAATACATAACACCTTCACAGGACTGGTTGTAGGTCTCAAATGAAATAATAAGATTGCATGGTTAGAGTAGGAAGGCAATTTAAATACCATCTAAGCCAACCCTCTCATTTTATAAATGAGGAAACTAAGTCCCAGAGCAGTTCAGTGCTTTGCCCAGAATGACAGAATAGGAGGCAGTGGTGGAATTTGAATCCAGGCCCTCTGACTTCAAATCTAGCATTCTTTGCACTATGCAAAATAAATTGCTATATATTACTATCTTGGATCTGATGCTTTACCAGCTGACTAAACGTGGTCGACTCAGTTCACAGCCTCAGTTTCTTCAACTGCAAAATAGGAGTTAAAAATAATTCTTGGGCTATGTTCTAGCTCATAGGATCAGGAAGAAAATGTTAGGCAAACCTTAAGCACTAAATAAATCAACGTGCTCAAGGTCACCTAGTCAGATACCATTATTTTGGGAGTGAGGAAACTGAGGCCCAGGGACTTTCATACTCCCTTCCCAAAATGGTACAATTAGAATAGAAACTTAGAATTTTACCCAACATCTCACACATTAATATGCCAGCAACTAATTATCTCAATTCCAATTTTTTTTCCACTGGTGACTGATATGGCTACCTTAACTGGTGTCAGTTAAAAGTTGTTAGTCTCCTGGGCATTCTTTTTTATTAACCAGTGACGTACATTAAAAGAACCTGCCTGAAGAACTACTCTGAATATTTAACAGATTGCTCTGAGACCCTCCTCCAGCCCACTGCAATGATTCCAGAACTGGGGTGGAGTTAGGGGGAGTGAGCAGGGAAGGAAGCAACGAAGTAATTTATCGATCGGCCCACAGATTGGTAATTCTTGGCACCCCTGATGCCAAGTGTTGTATAAGCAGAAAGGAAGACCTAGGTAAACAGTCCTAAAGCAGACAAATACTCTGCCGAAAATATCAAATAAAGCACAGCCAAGAGATGAACAGAAGAATATTAGAAAGGAGGCCACAAGTGAGCAAGAGAGAGAATCAAAACCCTCTCTAGTGAGGTAGTTATTGCCAAAGCATTAGGGCAGCCCACAGCATTTACTTTAGGTTACCACAACTTATTGTTTTCATATGGCTATTTATTTGTAGGTAGCCATCATAAGCAAATTCTCATTACTTCATAATCGAAACCAGGCTCAGGATCACTATAGCATTTCCTTCCTTGTCTTGGAAACAAAAATGTTATGGACTTCCTAACAGCTATGTTAGAGCCCACCTTGCCACACACAAAACCCAATGAAGAGGAGAGATACACTTGTCCATTTCCCCTTAATTTTTCATTTTGTATTTTATAGACATCTCAGTGCTCAGTCCTCACTCTTGTCTAAGCAAACCTCAGAGACAGTAAAACGGCATGTGGGTTCCCCCCTTTCCTCCCCCCCCACTTGAAAACATCAAACATTTTCAGAAGCCTATGTAGCAGGGGAATCAGAAAACCACCTCTGACTAAGACTTCTGGAGCATGTTTTTCAAGCTGACCCACTTCCACATTAGTCATATTGGTTCACAATATCTCACTTCTAGGTGCAACAGTAATTGTTCCCTGCCTGTACAATTCTCTGAACGCAGCAGGCTTCCAGCGAAATGCAATACATTTAATACTGCCACCCCCACCCTCATCTCACCCCCTATCTTCGAGTCAAATTGCTCCATCAGCCAGCCTCAGAAAACAGACCTGTTCAGAGATCCGGTGCCTAACCTGAAACAATTTGGTCTCTCATAGGAAAAGAGAAGAGGAAATCATATTTGCAGGGCGATAGGAGGAAAGTTAAAGCAAAAAAGCAGAGCTCTGATCAAGTATGAAATACTTTACACCCCTTGACTTTTGAGATCAAATATAAGCTTCGTAAGCAGGATATGGTGAAGTCTGTGGGAGATGCCCACAAGACTGAAGACCATCTTTTTAAAGAGAGCTGAAATTAGGTGAGAAGGGCCTACTCGAAATACATATGCACAGGCAGGCTCCACAAATGCAAGCCTGTACTGTTCAAAAGACAAGCTCAGGGCGTCCTAGGAAGAAAGGCAGAATGGAAAATTGAAAGATTGAAGCATTTTCTGGGAGGGAAATGCTTAGCATTCATGCAGTGCTTTCTTTGTAACCACAGCACTTAATTCAGAGCCTGTCACACAGCGCTTCATTCAATGCTTGACTGACTGATTGACCCCTGGTTCAAGGACTTAGCCCAGGAAAAGGACAGCATCTTTCCCCATGCCCCTTGGGGCTGTTGCTCCTGGGTTGGGGTACTTCACCACTGTCAAAGAAGGCAGAACTTTCTATAGCCCACCTCCGGCCAAAAGCGCCTTTTAAAAAAACAATAAGACGCCCATGTTTGGGGGTGTGGGGCATGAGAATAGGGGAAAGAAGAGAGGAAGAGTATGTGGACGATCCATTACAAATAAGGCATTTGCAGCAGAACAGAAGATGGGGGCTGACCACAAAGGAAATGCGATTGATTTCATATGCGATTGATTCATACTCATATTCTCTCTCATTCTCTCTCTCTCTCTCTCATCTCTCTCTCTCTCTCTCTCTCTCTCTCTCTCTCTCTCTCTCTCTCTCTCTCTCTCTCTCTCTCTCTCTCTCTCTCTCTCTCTCTCTCTCTCTCTCTCTCTCCCCTTTCTGTCTCTATCTTTCTTTTTTGCCTTCGTTTCCCACGGATGGAATCACATGCTGAGAACTGCAGCAAGCAACCTCCCCCACCTTCCCGGGGGATAGATAAAGACGCCCAGCCGGACACCCCTCCCCTCCCCGGGGGCAGGAAAGAAACCCGGACCTGAGCCCCACCGGCCCTGGGGCAGCCAGAGGCAGCTTCTATTCCGGAGCCCATGCAGGAAAGAAAGGCTCGGCCGTCAGCTGGGTGACAGCGGCGTGTCTTCCATCCGCACCCCACCCCATGCATGCACACACACATGCACATACTCACACATGCATCTCTACACACGCCTCCAGGAGCCGAGGATTGGCTTGCATGGGGGTGAAAGCCAGGCAGCTCCGGGAGGGCCAGCTGGGCACAATAGCCCCGGGGCCAGCCCAGCGCACCAGGCAAACAAATGCACACTTAGACAGCTGCCCTCCCCCGCCGCCGACACGTTCGCAGCGCGCTGGCGGCGGCCACGGTCACAGCCACGGCCCGGCCCGGGGGCCCGAGGTGGGACCCCCCCACACACCCCGCTGCAGCAGAGACTGCGGAGGAGGTGGGGGTGGGGCCCGGGCCGGGAGGCAGACACACGCGCGCACACACGCACACGCGCGCACACACACACACACACACACACACACACACACACACACACATACACACACACGCACACACATCCGCCAGCCCGAGCCTCGGCCAAGCTGGGCACGGGCAGGTCTGGCGGCAGCCCCGGGCCCGCGCCCCGCCCGGCCCCCTACCCGCGGGCGTGCTCCGTCTCCTCCTCATTGTCTCCGTCGATCCCGCAGGTGTCTTGGTCGTCGAGCTCCAGGCTCTGCTGGCTGGCGGCCGACTCGCTGTCCTCCGCCATCGCGGCGAGCGAGCGAGCGACAGGGCGAGGGCGAGCGGAGCCGAGGAGAGCAGAGAGTGACAAGGCGGCGGCGGCGGGAGCACCGCCCGTGGGAGTGTGAGCGAAGCCCGGGCGCGGGCGCCCGAAGCCGCCAGGAGCTCCCTCTAGCTGCCGTCCTCCTCCCCTCCTCCCCCTCCCTCTCCCCCTCCCCCTTCCCCCTCCTCCGAATTTGGGGAGAGATCGAGAGAAAGCGCGCGCACACGCGGCCCCCGAGCCCGGCCCGGGCACCCGGGGTCTGGGGGGGCCAGTCCGCAAGGTCTGGGGGACGCGGAGGAGCGAGGAGCCTCGGCCAGGAGCCCGGAGCCCGGAGCCGGCCCAACACGCAGGGAGCACCCCCAGGCAACTCCCCCTCCCTCTCGGTTTCCCGTCTGAAAAATGAGGCGAGGGGGTGGGCTAATGATAAGCGTCGCAATTCGATTTAAAAGGCCCCGAAGCACAGGCCTCCCAATCCAGCTGTGTTCCAGAAGGAGCTGAAGCTCTCACCACAATCTGAACCAACATTTATTAGGCGCCAACTGTACTAGGCGCTGAGGTCCAAGGGTAAGGAATGAAGCGATTCCCCGAGCTTACCTTCTAATTGAGAGACAAGAAGTGCCCCCCACACACATCATAAAAGTGTGGCATTTTATAAAATCCCTCAAAATGCAGTGCACGAAGACTTGTGGGACAGCCTGAATAAAGTGAATAAATACTAATATAAACAAAGTAGTTAAATACCAGGTAGTTTAGGAGAGAGGGCAGAAGCAGAGGCCATGTGAAGTTAGTGTCAGAAACAGAACTTAAATCCAGGGCTTTCTGATTCCAATTTCAGCACTACCTTACCGCTGCTAGTACCTTGCCTCCGAGATGACTTTCCATTTACATGTATGTATACCAATATATCTTGTTGGTATATACATATACATATAGATACATATATATACACACACACCAGTATATACACAGTTATTTCAGGGTTTCTCCCATTAGGATGTGAGCTCTTTAAGGGCAGGGACCATGTTTTTGCCTTTAGTAGTATCCTAGGTGCTTAGTGAAGTCCCTGCCACCTAGTTAAGTGCTTATTAAGGCTTGTTGACGGACTGTCTACCATGCCGATCTCTAAACTCTCGATGATCTGTGATTCTAAGACTCTGGAAGAGAATCAGCAGGGTTCTCTTTCTCCTCCTAGTGGTGTTGGGAAGTATGATTGACTTAGGGTGCCTGATTCTCAGTGGCTTGGGGCAAAAATCAGCAGTGGGGATCCTGTTAGGGCCGGACAACTTCCATAAGAAAGAAAGCAAAGTTCTGTTAATAAAGAGTGGATGGTGCAATATAAAACAAACTCTGGGGGACTGAGGTTCAAATCCCAGATTTCCCACTTAGGTTCTGGTCTTAGAGCTGTGGGACCTTGGGGAAGGCGCCTTCCATCCCTGGGCCTGTTTCGTCATATGTAAAATGAAGAGATTGAACTAGATGATCTTGAAGGTTTCTTCTTGTCTTAAATCGCTTGCCAAAAAACTAGAATTTTCAGGAATGGCAACCCCTTATCCCTCTCCTTGAACAGGCCTCCAAGAAAGCATGAATTATAATCACTATTACATCATTATTACATGAGCCTCCTGTCCTCACCAAGAAGAAATTAGTAACTGTCTTAGAAAGCTGGAGGTGGGAGTCTGGAGTTCAGAATCTCCATTGCCCATTTGCTACTTCAACCTTTATACACCATGTTTCCTTGGGCTGTGACCAGCAATGTCCATAGGCCCTTCCAGGCCATGAGATTGCTGTGTGATTGTTTGCTGGAAGGCAAAGGGGTGTAGGCCACAGCTGGCTGGGCTGTGGGGAGGAGGAAAATGAGACTGAGGGAAGGAAGGCTTGCTAAAAATTTTTATATTGACCTTTCCTGTCTGAGTGATTGGGAACATTTCTACTCTGCAGGTACTTTTGAAAGGGTCCAGTAAGAGAGCTTTAAAATAGGATTGAGATAGAGGTGGGTAGAGAAGAAAATTAGAGAGGTAATTTCCAAACCTTGAACATGGTCAGCCACTTATGACCTCTGGATGTGGAACCAAGCAAAGGTTTCTAAAAGAAGTGCCAAACGGTGACAAAACATGGAAGAAAATGTGATCTCTCTTTCACAGTTGCAACTGATGCAGAAAATTACTCTTATGGCCTTCATATTCCAGTCTGAAGACAGAAGCCATTATTGTTCAGGAAAACTTATCTGGGGTTTATCTCTTTGACGTAAATACCTGCATAGCTCTGATTCAGTAGAATAATAAACCAGCAGCATCAGACCTTCTTGTGAGGCCATCAGGATTTCCTTCCTCCCTTCCTCTTTCTCTTCTCTCTCTCTCTCTCTCTCTCTCTCTCTCTCTCTCTCTCTCCTCTCTCTCTCTCTCTCTCTTTCTCTCTCTCTTTCTCTCTCTCTCCCTCCCTTCCTTCCTTTCTTTCTTTCTTTCCCATACCTCTGATTTCACTAGTGGAAGAAACTTGAAGTGAGGAAACACTAGTTACCAATGCAGGACAGCAGGACTACTTAGAGTCTTAGACTTACAGGGTTACCTGGGGATACTGAGAAGTGAAGTGACTTGGCAAGGACAGCCTTCAACCCAGGTCTTTTTATATTAGATACCAGCACCACAGTGAATTTGAAGAAACATGCACAGCCGCTCAACCTATTTTTAAAAATATTTTTGTCAACTTGTTTTGTTTTTATATTGCCTAAATTTCACCCTGAATCTCACCCTTTCCTCCCTATATTTTGGGGTTCTTAAAAAAAAGATAAAAATGCACCGGGCAAAGTGAATCCAGTAGATAAGATTTGTCTGAATTTCCATAAAGCTTTGGCTAAAGATTCCTCAAAAAGACACTGAGAAATTAAATAACCTTAGGGGACAAATGTTTGAAAAATTAAAAACCAGTTAAGAGCTAGAATACAATGAACCGTAGTGAACATATGCTCCCCAGAATGAAAAGAAAATCAACCCAGTAGCTCTGGGGTTGGCATTACGTAATATATTTATCATGTTAGTCATCGGAAAGGTGAAAAAGTTTGCTGATGGCTCTAGTGTCTTATAACACATATATAGTGGAAGCAGACTTTACCGCTATTTATTTACTCACATTATATTTACCCTATTTCTCACAAGGTTATTGTTGTTGTCTTCTTCTTCCTCTCCTTCCTGTCTTCCTCCCTTTTTCCTCCTCTTCCTACTCCTTTTTCTCCTTTCTTCCCTGGTTTTTCTTTGCTAGGTTTGTGATGCTGTAACAAAGTGGGATTTCCTTGGATTTCAGATTCAGTGTTTTCGTGGGGGAGTAAGTATAGACAGAAGGAAAAACACTTGTATCTTCCCTGCTGACTGACTCATACCCCATTAGCAATGGAGATTGGTCTGGTTTTTTTGAGATTATTTTACACAGCCATGCTCGAAGCCATAAGGAATCAGAAAGTTGTGCTTATAATTCTTCTGAGAGACCTTGCCAACTCAAAATATTAGCAATAACATCAGCAGTCTTTGATAAAGACTTTGATAAAGACAATCTTCTTGATAAAGACTTCTGCATCCTGAGATCTGTGAGCTTGTAACACATATGCAAAAAAAAAAATGCCCCCAAAAAACACCATGTGCCATTCCTTTCAAATACAAAATAAGGGAAATTGGAGATAATTTCATAGAATACAAATGAATTTGAAGTGATAAACTTTGTCCTTTTATTTTTAAAAGCCAACATGATTCTATGATGTATTAGCAGCATGCTACGAAATGGCTGTAAGGTCATCCTTCCATTCTGCTTGACGTTGACACCCATTAGGTTCTTCTGTCTTATTTTGATCTCTGAATGTTAAGAATATGGAGAAATTGGAGGGAGTCTAGAAAGAAGCGATGAAATGAGGTTGAAAATAGAACTCAGAAGGAAAGGTCGAAGAAGCTCATCCAATTTTGCCTGGACAACAGAATGCTGAGGGGAGACAAATATTTTCAAGATCAAGATGGTGGATGTTGACCTATTGTTCTCCATTTCCATCGTGGCCAGGAGAAATGAGCTCATAATGTAGGGAATTTGCTTAGCAGTTGGTGTAGGTCACTTAGGAAAGAGAAATAACTATTATATCTTAAATGTGTTAAACATTAGAACAAGCTGCTTACTAAAAGAAGTTCCTTTAAAACTAGACTGACAGGGTCAGTTAGGTGGCACAGTGGATAAAGTGCTAGCCCTAGAGTCAGGAGGACCTAAGTTGGACTATAACCTCAGACTTTTACTAGCAGTATGACCCTGGGCAAGTTACTTAACCCTGATTGCCTCCACAAAAACAAAAACAACAACAACAACAGCAACAACAACAAACCCTGAACTGACAACCAGCTGGTTTTGATTATTACAATGCAAACCTACCTGAAATAGGGAGCTATAATAAATTACCTCCAGAAATCTTTTCCAGCTACAAAATTCTAGGAAGTCTGTTGACACGAACATGAACATTCATATGAAGTGTGTGCTTTTCTAAGTACTTTCATATATAACGCCCTTTTTTCAAATTGACATCCCTTTATTATATGTATTTTTTCCTTACATAAAATTTAATGTGTCCAGAAAACATATGAGCATGTTTCTTCTGAAAGTCATACAAAGAAACTGGACTATTGA